CACATCCCCTAATTTCAGTTTATGTACTGGAGAATTCCCTGGACTTCTGCATAAATTTGGGGATTTTTTAATTGATGTAGGAGGAGGTGAGATGAGGAGTGAGCCTGTAAACTTTAGAATAGGAAAATACACTGGGGATTCTTTAATGGGTCGATATACAGTCCCAAGGAATTGCTGCAATTCCTTGTCATGATTTAAGAAACAATTGGGCTGATAATACATTAAGAGAACAAATTTGAGGATTAAAATTAAAACTGCTGTTTAAAAAGTATGTTACTTGTTGAAATCATTAAGGCAATGCAGGTAAATAATACAGTAGTTTCCAGAGATGTCTTCTGTATTTCCAGCTGGATATTTCTCAGTAGGAATACATTCTACCTAAAAAAAGCACCACAAAAAAAAAAAAAGATGCAGAAATAGAATCCTTGTGTAATTATTTAATTTTTAATAAAGGAATGCTTCATTTCTGCCTGGCAGGGAGTGTGTAAAGAGCAGGTTATGATGTCTCTGGTTTTGATTTTTAATCAATTTGCCAAATGCTGATTTCTTTGTGGCTCAGTTTCCAGTTGCTTATAGCTTTGCCAAACTCGCTCTGCTTGAGTTGAAATTTCCTGTGTTGCCTTTTACTTCAGTAAATGCTCTGAGAAACCTTGGAGCAGTTTCAGGCCAGTGGCACTTGCAGGGCACCAGCAGCAATTTCCTGCCTCCAGAAGAGCTTGTGATGAAAGAGAAGCAGTTCAGATACATTGGGAAGGGCAAATCCTGCTGGAATTTCAGGGAAAGCCTGCTGTGCTTCCCCAGGACCTGAGATGGGGTCTGGGTGCCCACTGATGGAGGCAGAAATAGGTTCCAACACCCAGAAACTTCCCCAAGTCTGTGTGACATTCCTCTGAGCAAGAAAAGAGGATCACTGATGATGAAATGCAAATGAATGAAGCATTTCAGTCGAGAACCTAGAGGTGGTATTTACCTGAGGAAGTTCACTGTGAGGTGGGAGTGGGTTTTGGTTTTGTTTTAATTGGTGCTGATTCAGTCACATCCTGAGGCATTGCTCCTACCCCGAGGGTGAGGAGGGGATGGCTTGCTTCTTTCCAGATTAATCATAATTTCTGTGGGAATGGTAAAACCAGATCTCCCCATAAATCTCCAAGAGGAAGCAGATAAAACCATCAACATGTTTCTCCCTTGCTGATTCCAGTGGTAAAAATTGTGTTGACTTGAGCAAGGAGAGCTCCCTTGGTAATTTCATCAGAGACACGAGGTCACCTCTGTCCATTCTTTGAAAAAGTGGCTTTTGTGGGCTCTGCTGCCAGGCAGGGAGGGAATTCCACCTCTGGCATGGGAAGTCAGGCCAGGCAGGTGGTTCAGCTGTGAATCTGGTCAAATATCACACTGCCTCAAGTTTGATTTAACAGGAAATCCTAACATGGGAAAACGAAACACAATCTGCTTCTCAGGAGAAGCATCTGAACTCTGGAATGTAATGTGAGGTGAAATCAAGACCAAAAACTTTTGTATCACTAGAATTTTCTGTCTCAGTTTTGATTTGTTTCTGCTGTGTTCTATTTTTAGGGGGTTAGGCTGAGAAATTTGCTGAGGGGTTGTTCTGGTTCGTGATGGCATGATAATGTCAAATCCGTATTTTAAGCAGTCCTTGAAAACTTCTATTAAAAATTCCCACGGGTATCAGCCCTTAAATATATATTTTTAAAGGTTGTGTCACAGTAACTTGAGGAGGAGACATAGGGAAAATGAAAGATCCACGCTGATTTCCGCTGGAAGTTGAAAGAGTTTTAGGAGAAGGATGAGAATGAGCTTGTCCTTGATGTAGGTGGAGTCCCCTGGGCTGGGGCTGAGAGTAGTGAGAAATTCCTGATATATGGCAGATATAGGACACGAAACAGGCCCTGTACTGTGAGAATACAATCCCCTCCAAATGCATAATCTGTTTCTCGTGGAAGACATGTGGCCTGCTATAGGAGTTTTAGGTCAACTGATTCGGTTGGAGATTAGCCTCGATGTTCTGAAAGGGAAGACTGTGGTTACTTAGGGGACTTTAATTCCTCATAAAGGATTATACTGGGGCACCACACCACTGCCACGGTGTCAAATCTTTTTTGTGGGTTTGCTAAATTACCCTTTGTAATGGAAAAGCTTATTATGTGCTTCCAGTCAAAGGAAGAGTTTGAGTCGGTAGCAACTTAAAATGCCAGTGATTAGGGTCCTAATCTAATATTCATAGTTTTGGGGCTTTTCTTTTATTTCTTCTTAAAGCATATTTCTCTACTGTATTGCAAATGACTTGCTGAGAATTTCAGGAAGAATTTCTTGGTGGAAAGGGTGGCCAAGCATTGTTAGGGGCTGCTCAGGGAGGTGGTGGAGCCTCCACCCCTGGAGGTGTCCAAGGAAGGGCTGGGTGTGTGCTCTGGGCTGGTTGATGGGGTGGTGATCAGTCAAAGCTCGGACCTGAGGATCCTGGAGGTCTTTTTCATGCTGATTCTGTGTCTCTGTGATGAGTCCTGCTCTGATTTAACACCCTGTGTGGGGTACCTAAAATGGGAAAGTCCATCAGAGGGACAGGAACACGTGCAGGTCACCAGGGGGAAGGCAGAGCAGTTATTAAAGGTAAAACAATCATTTGTGAAACTCTGGAAAAGTGACTTTAGTGGTAAATCTCACAGTTGTAGGTAGGGAGAGGAAAGGTTTCAGTTTTAGGTAATGATATCTGTGTTACCCCATGTTTGCAGATACTGAGTCTGTATTTTTGGTTGCATGTTGATGGCAGTATGTATTTTTTATCCCCCCTCAAGAGTTTTTTTACAATATTTACTGCCTGGTGCACAGTGCAAATAATTGGTGGTACATTCCAATATTTGAGTCCCTTAAAGGCTTAACAGGATTGGGAGGGAGCTGGTTCTCATTACACTGAAGAGGTAGAATGAAGGACTTTGTCCCTACAGATCCTTAATTTAAATTTTATTAAATATTAAATTTAAAGTTTATTAAATACTGGCATGTCTGAAAGGCCTGATTGTTCCTTGCACTTTCCCTTCAGATGCTGCTGTGGATGCTGACATTGGTGTGAAGGACAAGCTGGTTGAACTTGTGGGGCTGCCATGGATTTCTCTCTTCAAGTGATAGATTGTCCTTGCTTCCCTTTTCAGGACTTGTGCCATAAACAGGCAGTGTGGATATTCTGCTATTTTCACACCTGTGCTACCTCATGGCTTCCAAACAACTTGTTTCCTCTAGGTCCAGAGCAAGATTTTTAGTGAAAAATTATTATTTTTTTTTTTTAATTAAAAAATTAAAAAAAAAAAAAAAGACACTCAAGAAAATAATTATTTTGATCCATTTAATCGGTTACATTTTCTGCCATGAAAACAGTGGGATCAGATATTTCTAGAGAGGTTTTGTGGCTGCTGCATTCCCCTGGGCTGGGGTGTGCTCAGGGGAGAGGATTTGCTGTGGATTTTGGAGACCCCACAGCAGCGTGACAAAGGTTTTGGTGCAAAGTTTGCTCTCTTGTGGCATAGGAGGAGTGTGAGTTGAGAATGGTGACAAGAAGAAAATTTAAAGAGAATAAATGGAGATGAAAACAAATAATGAAGTCAGGAAAAAAAGAGAAATCAGAAGATAACCCACAATTCTTTTTTTTTCTTTTTCTAGGAGCTTGTAGACATTGTGATTTATTTTTTTACAGCATTTCCATGTTCCAGCCACAGCCTGTGCTGATGCTCAGAGGTCTGGGATAGTTTACATGTGGGATGTACATATGCCTGCATATCCACCAGTGTGGCAAAATGGAGTCCCAAATCCTCTGCATGTAAATGGATTTTCCACCCTTCTGTTTCGGTTTTAATTGAACCACATAAACATTGTCAACATATGAGATTGGTCTTTGACACCTTACTTAGCATTTCTTTAATAATTAAATGCTTTAGCTAGAAGCACTGGCAATTAAAATAAAGTAAGCAAGCAAAAAAAAAGCAAACCAAAAAAGAACAAAAGGGAAAGAGATCCTGAAAAATTTAAATGCTGGTCAGGGCTTTCTCCACCTTCCTTACACCATTTTTATGCCTTTACATGGAAATTCTGCAGGGCAAGGTGGATGCAACTGGTCCAAATCTGGAATTCTCATTGAAGCACAGTTTGTTTATACTTAGAGTAAGATGGAGTTAAGGCTTTTAATAAAGGTTTACTAGCAAAGATAATTAACTCAGAAATAAATTGAAATGCTTGAAGGAGGTGGTGTTGTCACTTTAAAACATCCTTGCCTGAGGATGCAATTATAGTGGCACAAAGTTTTGAAATGGATTAATCTGAATTAGAAAAAAAAGCCTGCATGTTCTTAATCTGGAATAAGTGTCTCCCTAGAAATTGTTTTTACAGTTATTGTGGTCAGTCTTCCTGTCTAGAAAAGTTAGACTTTAGAGTTCCTCTGGTAGGAGAGTTCTTGTGGCAAGAGAATGAAGAAGCTTTATGTATCTCCTTTTGCTGAGTTTCTTGTCATACAAGACATTTTTTCCATTTCTTTCATGTAAAAAGGCAAAGCTCTTTGAGATCTTGGCTATTGCTCTCTCTAAGAAGTTTTGCTGAGAGGGCAGAATTTTGGCAGTGAAACTGCAGTGATTGGAGGCCAGGACAAGACCGTTAGCTGTGGGATATTGGATATTTTATCCTGGTAAAATGCTCAGAGGAGACACTCAGAGAATGGCAGCAAGGCTTCATAGCCCTGTTTAAAAACCATCCTGTGGTGATCCAAGAGCGTGAGACCCTGTAATCCCATTTGTATCATGGCAGGAAGCTGCTGCTCCCACTCACAATTTGAATTTTGATAGTTATTTTTGCTAGTTACTGCAGAGTGCTGATGCTGGCATCAACCTCTCAGGAGCTGGCTGTTCACAGCACACGTTTGTCATCAACATTCAGTGGGAAGGAACTTCCATCACTCCCCAGATGTGATTAAGGGTTCACTGAACTTCTCTTCCTCCTTCCAGGTTATAAGACCCTTTTGAAAGGAATTTCAGGGAAGTTCAGCAGTGGAGAACTCGTTGCAATTATGGGACCTTCGGGAGCTGGGAAGTCAACGCTTATGAATATTCTGGCAGGATACAGGTCAGTACCAATGAGAATCCCAAGTTAAGATCACCAACCCTGAGGGCTCCTTGGAGACAACAGCAGAAGAAATTTTAGCCTAGAGTTTGTCAGAAACAGGCAAATTCATAGATTTTGAATTAAATTCTCATTGCTAATCTTTTTTTTTCTCCCCTCTGTGTCCCATTTTGGTCACTTGGGATTTATCTCTTAAGGGGTCTGATCCAAAAATAAGAAATTTAAAATCAAAAAAAACATGTATAGGAAGAAAAACTTCTTTTTTGGCTGTGTAACAAATCTGACTCAGTGTCTTATGTTTGTGATGTTTTTTAAATCACATAAACACTTGAAAAATGTACTCTTTTTAGTCACCACTTCAAAATGTTGATGTCTTCTTCACCAAAATGCAGTTACTTTTATCTTTCTAAATCCCCTGTTGTATGGCCATACAAGGTGTCTCTGCCTTGTCATTTGGGGCATAAGGAACAGGACAGAGAAACCTAAAATAACACCAACTTTAATTTCTTGGGGGTTTTTTTTCAGATATTTTTTTCAGATATTATTTTCAGATATATGACAGCACGCATTTTGAGTAAAATTTTCAGCATCTTGGCATGAAGCTTTACGTGAAAGAAAGTGTAATCAGGAAATAATTTAATTTCTATCCAGTCTACCAAATTTATTTCATAGTGGCAATGAGTACCTAAGACCTCCACGTGCTCAGTCATGTGGCAGCCCAAGTGAGGGTGAGATTCACCTCTGTTTGTTTTGATGTTTGGTTTCAGAGAGACGGGGATGAAAGGAGAAATCCTCATCAACGGGCAGCCCCGCGACCTGCGCTCCTTCCGCAAAGTCTCCTGCTACATCATGCAGGATGACATGCTCCTCCCTCACCTCACTGTCCAGGAAGCTATGATGGTGAGCTTTGTTCCTTCCTCTCATTTATCTGAGCAGGAGAAAATGGAAGGTGGTTTGTGTTGTGGCCTTGGTTTTATCCCTGGCAGTGCCACGCGGTGTTATCCCTGCCTGATCCCGCTCCATGGAGCTTCTTGGAATTTGGTGATGCCTTGGATTCCATTTTGGGCTCATCCTTCTAGGGATTCTTTGGCTTTATAATTTCCAGTTTGTGCCCAGCATTATGATTTGGAAGGAGATCCAAGTGTCTGCTCCTTAGATCTCCTAGAGAACAGAACCTGAAATTCTTCACAAATGAGCCTTTGTAGGGACCATCTGTTTGCTTGGGTGGTGGATGAGTAACCTCATCTCTCTCTCTCTTTCTCCCCATCTTTCATCTTCTGACTGAAAATTGTTATTTACACTTCAGTGTGATCTCTCTGCCACTTCTACTCTTTTGTGCCTTTTTAAAAATAAAGGCATTTTACAAATTCTCATTTCTTCATGGGAAAAAAAAACAACCAGGAACAGAATAAATCCAAGATGTACAGGCAGTGTAAAGTCTTCTCATTGCTTTGCATCGCATCAGGAAGTTTATGAATTGCCAACTTGACCAGTTAGTCTGGAAGTGTCTGAAGCTCAGCTTGAGAAATGAGCCAGTTTTTCTCAGAAATTGTTATCAAAAATAAAGCTTGGGTTGCTCACACTGTGCCAGCTCAATTCACAAATTTTAAGGCCAGAAGAAATCATTCCGGTTTTTATGTGGCTAATTTTTTGCGAAGGCTCTGTTCTTTGGAGAAGTTTTTCTTCTCTTTTGTTTACTGGAGTGTTTTAATCAGAATCCCATGGGACCACTTTTGCAGAATTGGGCCCAGATTATACTTGCTGTCTAAAATTAATCAATCAAGGCTCTGCCAAAAAATAATTACTTAACAGTTTAATTGCTTTTAATAAAGGTTAATCATGATGTTTTGTGGAGCTGCCTCTCAGGACAGCAGATGACATCTTTTCACAAGATTATTTATTTCTGCTCTCACTTGTTTGCATCCTGGAGAATGGCAGAGTTCATTTATCCTTGCAGTGTGAATGAAGCACAAATAAACTGTGTTTTTAGAATTGCCTGGGAAGTTTTTGGGTGTGCAAAATATGTCACTTTCCCATCTTCCTGTAAAGCTCTTTGTTTTGCAGAATGGCCTTTTTTTTCTAATACACTTTTTGTCGGGTGCTTCGCCTAAGTCAAATTAGACTCAGTTACTTACTGCACAGAAAAATGTGGTGCTTGTGGCTGGAACATTGTTGTTCAAGTTTAGGTTTTCTGACTGGGTTGAGAGAAGTTGTTTAAATGGTACCTTGGAGTGTTGTGCCTGAGACATCTACTCCAAGTGGTGGTTATGCTTCAGAAAAAATCAAAATCAAAATCCATTGTTTTACATTCCAGGTATCTGCTCATCTGAAACTTCAAGAGAAGGATGAAGGGAGGAGAGAAATGGTATGTACACTGCCCATCAAACTAGAATTTGGGGGATGCCAAGAAGTGGGCTCTGTAAAGCAGACATTTTTTATCTAATACTGAGCAGAATTAATGCAGAATAAATACAGAATAAGTCATAACCTCTGGGCTGCCAAATGTCATTAGGAGGGAATGTTCACTGCAGTCTCTATGAAAGCTACTTTCAGTACGAGACTGGAAAATTGTAAAAGATTTACTGAAACAAATTTCACAGGTTTTGCAGGATTCCTGTCCATGCACCTTAGCACTTTGGATTCTCCTGTGTCTGAGGGCTCAGGAGAGTGAGATAAATCACCCAGCTGGACCTGCACTAGGAACTGTGCTCCTCTAACCCATCCATGGGGAAAAGCACCTCTTTTCCTCAAATATGACAACTGTGGCAACTTCCTAGGTAGAGCAGCTGTTTTTGTGACTGTCCTTTGTCTGTTTCCAAATTGGAGCAATTGGCATTTCTTCAGACTCAAAAGAATCCTTGAAAATCAGAAAGGGAAGCTTACAGGAATCAGCTTATGTTTGGTAAACACAGCTTGCTTTTTTATTGGAAAATAAATTGATACAGAAACAGCTGTTAACTTAGTTGTACTTCAGAAGCCTTAGTTCATTTACACTCTAGTGAAGTTAGGCCAAGCAAGTTAATTCACTTGTTCACACTGTCACTGTAATTACAAGCAGCTCTTTGAGTTAAAAACTGTGCTGTGTTTATTCAACACACGTTAGAAGAATTTTCTGGTTAGCGTTACTGGCCTGAGCAGGAGAAGATAATTCATTTTATTGTTGCAAATTGGAGTGTAAATGTTTATCATAGATAAATGTTATGAATTTATACACTTGTGCTAGCAGGATTGCAGACTCTTGTTTAAAGCAGGGACAAGTGAAAATCGTCCAGTGAACCACAGTTTATGTTTCAAGCTGTCCTTGCTTGTGCTTCCTGAGTCCTGTTTACCCTTCCCAGAGATAAAGAGAATGAGGGAGTTGAACTATTTTCTCTGAGAATCAAGGCTTAGTGGGTTTTGCTATTTTTTTATTCCCTCTTACTGGGAAAGGGAACTCCTGGAAATCAAAATCAGGACAAGCAAAGGGTCAGGCCCTGGTTGGTCTCACCAACTTTCACCAGGTCGGGCTCTCTTTCTGGAAAACTCTCTCCATCCAAGCAGTTGATATTTGAAAAATGGTGGGGTCTGTTTCCTCAACTTCAGTGAAGTATTAAATGCCTGGGCTGCTTTCCACCTCTGAAGTAGTGGAAGTTTTTAATTGCACGAGCAGCGTAGCTCATGGATTCACTCATTTTTGTGTCCATGCTTTCACTGAGGCCAGAGAGCTATTTCCCTTATATAGGGCTACCAGACCAGACCTACAGCCACTGAAACAGAAAAAATCATAGTTCCTGGGATTGTTCTCCTTTTGCTCCCAAAACCCTGGGAGGAGCTGTGCCCTTCCTGAGGCTGTGCCCTGAGGAAATCCCAAACATCTGAGAACACCTGTGACAACTGCATTGGCTCTGAGGGGAATGAAAACACTTGAAATCAATGGCTGCACTTGAAAGAGGAGACTGTGGAGAACAGAGGAGATAAAGCAGGTCACTGCTCTACAGAAACCACTGGGTTTTGTTACAGAGTCCCTTGCAGAGACAACCCCAGAGTTCTATTGAAAGAAGCTGCTTGGTTTCACTGTGTAAGAGCCCCTCACATGCTGCAGAGCTCTTCTGATGTAAGTGCCACATCCATAAATACACAGCTACAGAAGAACTGGCTTCCACTCCTTTTTCACCTCTTTACTGGGTGAGGTCATGTAGGACAAACAAGCAGAATTTGGGTCAAAGCAGTAAATGGTACTGAGTCTAATAAATGTTACATTAGATGGAAAAAAGGCTTCAAGTGTGTGGGTGATGAAACAAAGTCGTGAGCTGGTTCACAACCTCCATGAAAATCAGTGCAGAGGCTGGAGGGTTTTTTATGTTCATTTTATGTGGAATGTTCTGTTCCCTCCAGGTGAAGGAAATCCTGACAGCCCTGGGTTTGCTGACGTGTGCCAACACGAGGACTGGGAGTCTTTCTGGAGGCCAGAGGAAGCGTCTTGCCATTGCTTTGGAGCTGGTGAACAACCCTCCTGTCATGTTCTTCGATGAACCAACCAGGTACTGCTAGGCCAAAAATTAAAGCTAGACAAATATGGTTTTGCACAGTAGAACACAGCTACAGAAAAGTTATTCATCTCCAAATCCTTGGAAAAGGCTCATTTGGTGTTGCCTGCAAGCACTGAAAGAGGCCAAGAAATAATTTGATTTGAGTTCTTGGTGCCCTGGGTCACTGTTGCAACTGCTGGACTGTGGGGCTGTAAATAATATTTAAAGCAGACACAAACTGCAGGAGGAGGGAGAAGAGAGAGAAAAATATTGTGGCATGGGTTTTCTTTTTTGAGCGAAGACAGCTTGAATATAAACATTTTAAAATGTGACTTTTGGTAATGAATGTGATCAATCTGGGAAGAGGCTGGGAAAGCCATGAATATGTATCTATTCATTAGAGTTGGGAGCATTTAAATCTGCAGCCCTAAAATGTAAAAGTCCCTTAAGGCAGCTTTGAGAATACTCTTTTTCATTCTCAGGCATGCTTCCAACTTAATTAAAAGCCTGATGGAGAAACACAAGCATAAGGTTGGCATATGATAAAATGAAACTGCTACAGAGAAAACTTGTAAAAGGATAATAATGGGAGACCAAGTAGCAAATGCATGTGCTAGTTTTGAGTGGTGCCTGTGGATAACAAACTTATTTGGGTTTTTTTTTCCCAGTGGCTTGGACAGTGCATCATGTTTCCAGGTGGTCTCTCTGATGAAGGCTTTGGCCCAGGGTGGCAGGTCCATCATCTGCACCATTCACCAGCCCAGTGCAAAGCTGTTTGAGCTCTTTGACCAGGTACTGCTCTCAGACTTTCTCTTCATGGGTAGTTTAGGGTGGTTATGCTTTCAAGGCTACACTCTTCAATCTAAAAACATGACTGAGCTGTCTAGTTGACGGCTACGAATCGTATAAAGAAATTAAATAAATAACAACAAAATACACTTTTTGATTATGGGGTTTTTTTTTCCCCTTCTTCTCTGCCTGTTTCCTTTATTTACACGTAGTGTTTGTGAAGAATCTTGCTGTTAGGTGTGTGAAATCGTGGCTGTTGCACTGGTGATTGTCACACCTTCACCCAGCGCTGCTCCTGTGCTCAGGGCTGTCACAGAAGTGAATTACAGCAATATAAAAGCAGGAGGGCTGCAGTGCCAATGTCTGCAATGTTGCAAGTGTATGTTCTCATCCTAGATACACAGCTGTAGATTGAGAAGAGTTAATTCACATGAAATGATAATAATCGAATTTAGTATTGAAAATTAATTGAAATTAAGTCAGTTGGAGAGCTTTTCTCCAAGCTAACAATGGCATGTGGACCATGTGTGTTTAGATTAGATAAAAATGTATTTCAGTCTTGTTAGAGGACTTAGATTAGTCCTGTGGGAGCTGAGAGAAAACCTCCACCACCACAGGTGAACAAACTCTTGCAGATTGCCAGTCTGGCAGGGAGGTTTATTTAAAGTCAGTATCGTGGCTAAAAGTGAGAATGATTGAGCTGTTTGCTGTTGCTGTGCTGTCCCAGCTCTCCTTCCATTCCTGCCTTCACCAGCCTCATCTCCCAGCCCAAAATAGCCATAATGTGTGGAAATTAGATGGCTTGGCTCTCCAGCTCCTTGCCTATTTTCAGCATGTGCCAAAGGCTGGAATTAGTGTGTTTCTGTGTTAATGTGTTTGAAGTCCTGCAGGCAACGTGTGCAGAATTCAAACTCCAGGCATTAAATTTTCCCTTAGCTGTAATTCCATGCAAAGTTAATTTCAAGTGGTGACAGATCTTCCCAAGGTGCTCTTCTCACAGGGACAAGGAGATGTTATTAGGCAACAGGTTCAAATATTTTGATACTATTTCACTTTTTTCTTTATTTCTTTTTATTCTATTTTCTATTTTTTTTATTTCCCTTTTCTTCTTGTTTTCCAGCTCTATGTTCTAAGTCAAGGTCAGTGCATTTACCGTGGGAAGGTAACAAACCTCGTCCCTTACCTGAGAGATTTGGGGTTGAATTGTCCAACCTACCACAACCCAGCAGATTTTGGTAAGGACAGCTTGAATAGTTTATTTCATTTATTTTGTATTTTATCATCACCTTCAGGGTAAAGGGAGCCGTGGTGTGATTTATACTTCTGTCCATATATTCTTATGTGCTTTGTTCATATATGAATCAAAATTCAAAATAAAATTAGTCAGATTTTTTTTTCCCTGAGTAATTTGAATGCCATCTAGTGGTACAATTTAGTTAATATTTCACTCTGTTAGAAGTCCAGGTTCAGGAAATTAAAGATAAAGCATAATCTTTAGTGTTTCATAGTAACTAATATTAGTGGGTTTTTTAATTGGCTCCAGTATTTTGCACTTTTTTTTTAAATCTTGAGCAGTACCACTGTGGTTAGAGCACTGAGGGTTTTTTCAGTGTTGTTTCTTAATGAAAAAAGAATGGAAAGTGCCATAAAAGTAGACTTTTGTCATTTTTTGTTACCTGTATTCATTGCCTTTCCTCTGAGCTGTTTCACTGAACATCCAGGATAAAGAGATCTCTCTGAAGATTTATGGACAGATGCATTTAAATGTTGTTTATTTATGAATTTGCAGGTGTCTTAAAAAAAACCAAACTACTAAAAAACTACTAAAACTACTAAAAAAACAAACCTGTTTTTGCCAGTGCTGCAGCATCAAGGGGATTCAATACCAAGGCTTGTATGTGGTCAGCAGTGCAAAGCTGGACCTTTGCAAAGCTAACTCCAACTCTCTGTTGTTGTAGTTATGGAAGTGGCCTCTGGTGAGTACGGGGACCAGAACAGCCGCCTGGTCAGGGCTGTGAGGGAGAGGATTTGTGACACAGACTACAAGAGAGACGTGGCTGGGGAGCACGAGCTGAACCCCTTCCTCTGGCACCGGCCCTCTGAAGAGGTATTTTGGGCACCTCAGCTCATGGGGCTGCAGGGGAGGGGGGAAACTCAAACCCTCGGCCGGTGGAGGAGGCTCTGGGCACACTCAGCTGATGTGAGTGGGCTTTTGTGAATGAAAACCAAACCAGATACTGTGAAGGAAGCAGTTTATTCTGTGGTGTGTTTCTGCAGGACTCCTCCTCCACAGAAGGCTGCCACAGCTTCTCTGCCAGCTGCCTAACCCAGTTCTGCATCCTCTTCAAAAGAACTTTCCTCACCATCATGAGGGACTCGGTAAGAATGGCTTTATAATAACTTCTGCAGCCAAAAGTTAAGCTGGGTGTGGGGAAGTGCAATACACCTCAAAGGTCCTGTCCAGCAGCCCATCCATGAATTATCACAGAATTTCAAAGGGGAGAGGCTGATCTTTCAGTCTTGCTGTTAACTCTGCCATCTTCATTGTGCATGACATCTTTCTACACAGCACTCAGAAGTACCTGGCCTAAAAACCCAGAGTTTAAACCCCCTCTGTGCTGGCTGGTTCCTTATACAGTTATTAATCCTACTGAAAAGTCACAAAATGAGGCTTTCCAGAAAATTCGGGATGGTGGAGAAAATAATTTCAGTGTGATATAAAGTTACTACTTAAAGTCTTCATATTTGGAAATAGAAAATCGGTAGATAAAAAGTTTGCTTCTTTGCCATAACTTGTTCTCCCTTCCTGCTTTTTATAAGTGCATTTGTCAACAAGGATTAATTAAGTTAATGAATTAAGATCAGGAGAAACTGTAGCTGATTTGCTGATGTATAGATTGAAAGACAATGCTGTTTTTAATATATTTTTTTTTTTCCTGCTCGACTCCAAAGGCTTGTATTTGTTCCCAATGTTATTATTTCTTTTGTTCTTCCAAGCCTCTTCTGGGAATACTGTGTAGCAGAGAAGGCACAGAAAGCTAATTTATTCCTGGTGAAGTTACTTTGGTCTATACAAGCCTGAAATGCTTTTCCTGCTTCTCTTCTGCTCTGGGGAAATTTATCTTTTTAGTCAGAAAGTCTCTTTCCCCTGATGAATAAGAGGCAGTGGATCCATGATATTGTCAGAGAGTGAGATTTCAGGTTGCATCATTTGCAGTTCCTCTATTACCTGGAAGAAATTTCTGGGGGAAACTCATAATTTTTCTTACCCAGTAGCAAATGAACATTTCTCATGGCAGGGCATTGGGACTAGGTGATCTTTAAGGCCCCTTCCAACCCAAACCATTCAATGATTTCTGTATAAGATTTTCTGGACGTGAGTGCTCCTTTCCTGAAATCTGATTTCAGCCACACTGACATTATTTTTGAGCCCAGACTTTGCACTAAATGCCTCTTTGCTTACCCCAGGTCCTGACACACTTGAGGATCACCTCACACATTGGCATTGGGCTGCTCATTGGATTGCTCTACTTGGGCATTGGCAATGAAGCCAAGAAAGTCCTCAGCAACTCGGGATTCCTCTTTTTTTCCATGTTGTTCCTCATGTTTGCTGCGCTCATGCCGACTGTCCTCACCTGTGAGTGCTGGGCACTGTGTCACAGCACAGGGGAGGGGGTTGCAGGGAGGTGGGAGGCTCTTGGAATGTCTCTGGTTTTTTATAAGATAGCATTTGGCTTGTGATTCTATTTCTAAGACAGGTGGGGGGATAAATCTTGCAGCCACAGAAGCACTGCTGTGCCAGCAGAAACAGCCTTGGCCAGCGGCACTTCTCCCTCCCCACTTTTTCCAGTGTTTTTCAGCACAGACAGTTCAGTGTTACAGCCCTGGACTGGAATTTTCTCCTTATCCCAGTGCATCTTAGCCATGCCCTGAGCTTGTGGAAGGACTTAGGGAGGATGGAATAATTTCTGTGGGGCTTCCAAGTTATGACTCCTGCATAAAATCAGGTTGTTCATGTGGTGTCAGAAGCAAACTCCTGCAGAATGTTGTGTACTTGCTTTGGGAGTGCTGGTACTTTGGATTCCCTGTTGGACCAAAAGGGATAGCCAAGTTCTTTCAGCTTGGACACCAATTTTAATTGAAAAATCCTCTTTAAGGGGGGTTCAGATCATCTGAGTAGACCGGTCCATAGTCTCAACAGGGAGCGGTTCTAGGGGCTGACCTCTCAGATTTCATTACAAATCACTGAAACTTTTGCTGCTCTGTCAAAGACCTGAGAGTTCCAGTCCCACCCTGGGACTGCAGCAGTGCAGGGTGAGATATGGGTGAGCTGTGTTGTTGTTGTGTGCAGCAGTATTGCACCCTGCCAGACTAACTGAATAACCTGTGTTCCCTGCAGTTCCCCTCGAGATGGGAGTGTTTCTCAGAGAGCATCTGAACTACTGGTACAGCCTGAAAGCCTATTACCTCGCCAAAACCATGGCTGATGTTCCTTTTCAGGTACATGCTTGACTCTTCAGTGAAACAGAACCATTTAAGTTCATGAATGACAAGCCCACTTGCCAAGAAGATTAGTACTGGTGTTGTATCCATTGGAATACTGGGGAAAATGCCCATCTGCGTCTGGTGAAGCTTCAGGGATGAATCAGAAACACCCTGAGAGTGCAGGACTTCACAAAAGCTGAGACCTGACCCAACACTCTTTTAATAAACACATGACCAGCTTTGCTTATTTGCAGGAGGGGAACTGTGAAGGGATGGGAGTGGAGTTTCCAAATGCCCAAGCAGAAAGAGAAATATCACCCGCCTGTCATGTAATGGAAAGGCTGAGAGCTTTTAGATCAATTAGAACCCCACCAGGATTTTGTCTTGCCCAGAGCAGCAGTGAATGCCTGGCTGTCAGGGGCTAACTCCCAGTGTGTGTCCTTGCAGATCATGTTCCCTGTGGCTTACTGCAGCATCGTGTACTGGATGACTTCCCAGCCCTCCGACGCGCTCCGCTTCGTCCTCTTCGCAGCCCTGGGCACCATGACATCCCTGGTGGCTCAGTCCCTGGGCCTGCTCATAGGTGCAGCCTCCACATCCCTCCAGGTACTGGTGGAGTTTGGTGGCCTCACAGCAGCTCTGTGAGCACAGTCACTGCTGCTGTGTCCCCAGGATGGTTGCTGAGAGCAGGCAGGGAGGAAGTTTCTTGCTGTAGTAGAGTTCTTGATGCTCCCCACTCACATTGGGGCACAGACAAGCCCTGGCTGTGAGGCTCTGAAGTTCCTGCCCCACCTGAAGGGGCTGTGCCTGCCCCTGCTTGGGTGGATTGTCACTTGCTGTTCACCCCAGACCGAGCAGGTCCTGGAAGCTGCAGGACTGGTGTGTTTCTGCATCCCCACAAACTGGAAATTTTCCACAATAGGAGAAGGTTCTTCCATGCACACCCAAAAAAGCTGTAGAAGGAAAGGTAGGAAAAGGCTTGCCCAAACCCCCAAATTTCTGGAAAGGGAGGGAGAGTGGCAGCTGTTGGCATGACTGGAAGCTGGCTGTGTAACTCCTGGCAGGAGATGTGCTGAGGTGACCATTCCACAGCAGAACAGATGATTCTGACCTCAATATGCCTTGATGCTGTCAAGATTTCTGCAGTAGAACACCTGATTCCCTCTCTGTGCCAGTCTGTGGAGACCAGCATAGCCTTACTGCGTGACCCCTGTGCTTCTGCTCTCCCCCTCACAAGAAAAAGAAAAATCAGCAATTTTCTAGTATTTCAAAATGTGATAATTTGGGGGAGTAGAATTATTCCTAACAGTAACAGAATAGCAAGATAATTTTTACTTTTTGTCTGTCTTTCTGACAAGAGACACTTTATTTCTTCTCTTCACAGGTGGCAACTTTTGTGGGCCCAGTTACTGCCATCCCAGTCCTTCTGTTCTCTGGGTTTTTTGTCAGCTTTGATACCATCCCAACATACCTCCAATGGATGTCCTACATTTCCTATGTCAGGTACTGCTGGGGAGGCCTTCACCCTCCCATCTGGAAATGCTGCTTGTTTGCCTTTGCTTGGTTATTTTATTTTATTTTATTTTATTTTATTTTATTTTATTTTATTTTATTTTATTTTATTTTATTTTATTTTATTTTATTTTATTTTATTTTATTATATTTTACTTTATTTTATTTGATTATTTTATTTCATTTTATTGTATTTTATTTTAATATTGTATTGTATTTCATTTTAATATTTTATTCTTTATTTTATTTTATTTTTATATTTTTATATTTTATTCTATTTTTTATATTTTACTTTCTTTTATTTTATTTTTTATTTTACTTTATTTTAATATTTCATTTTATTTTATTTTCATATTTATATATTTTATTTTAATATTTTATTTTTTATTTATTTTATTTTATTTCATTTCATTTCATTTCATTTTTTATATTTTACTTTATTTTATTTTATTATTTTATTTCATTTTATTGTATTTTATTTTAATATTGTATTGTATTTAATTTTAATATTTTATTCTTTATTTTATTTTATTTTATTTTAATATTTTTTATTTTATTTTATTTTTTATATTTGACTTCTTTTTATTTTATTTTTTTATTTTACTTTATTTTAATATTTCATTTTATTTTATTTTAATATTTTTATTTTTTTATTCTATTTTAATTTTTTTTTATTTTATTTTATTTCATTTCATTTCATTTTCATATTTGATTTGATTTGATTTGATTATTTTAATATTGTATTCTATTTTATTTTAATGTTTTATTCTGTAATTTTATTTTAATATTTTTATATTTTATTTTATTTTTTATATTTTACTTTATTTTATTTTTTATTTTATTTTAATATTTTTATTTTTTATATTTTACTTTATTTTATTTTTTATTTTATTTTAATATTTCATTTTATTTTATTTTAATATTTTTTTATTTTATTCTATTTTAATATTTTATTTTATTCTATTTTAATATTTTATTTTATGTTAATTTAATTTAATTTAATATTTATATTATATTATATTATATTATATTATATTATATTACATTACATTACATTACATTACATTACATTACATTATATTATATTATAATATTTTATTTTCTTTTATTTTAATTTTTTTATTTATTATTTATTATTTCATTTAATTTCATATTTCTATTTTTTCCACAAGGATTCCACACCCTGATCCAAGCTGGACACTCTGCTCTGCCCCGGAGGCCTCAGCAATCCCTGGATCAGGAGGGAGGGGGATCCAAGGAATCTCTTGAATTCCAGAATTTACCATCCCAGAATTTACCCAACTCCCTGGAAATAACTGAATTTCCTTCTGATTCCAAGAGAAACAATGGAAAATGTCGATATGTTGGTGCTGGAGTCCAAAATCAGCTTTTCAAGCACGGGGACATTCAGGAATATTCTGTCCAAAATAAAAAAAAGGGGGAATTATGGAGAGACACAAAGAAATGGATTTTATCCTCCAAAAGAAATTGTTTTCCCTGATCCATCTTTTTTTTTGTGTGTGGTTTCTCTGGTGCTTGATAATCCCTTGGAGTAATTTACATTAATCCAAAATTCTCCTTCACTGCCAGCCATGGAATTTTGGGGGAATTGAATATCTTGGAAATTTCTGTCAGGTTTGTTTCAAAAGGCTGCAGTGAGAATGCAAAATTAGTGAAGACACAAGTGTGGTTTCCTTAAAAAAAAAGTGATAAAAATGTAATTAAAAATTAATTTATGCAGCCATTTATGTCATTACCCCAGTGGTTTATTATTTATATCACTGATATCTGTCATGATTTTAAGAAAATAAAATGCAATTTCAATAAATTTCATATTAATATTAAATTTAATAATAATTAAAATTATAATTTATTTGATTTATAATTAATTTATATCATATTTAATAAATTTACATTACATTTGTTATACATTTTTATAAATTAGCATGATAGGAGGCTTTGGAAATTTAATTTAATTTAATTTCTCTTAATTTATCTTAAATTTAATTTAATTTATCTTTAATTTTCTCCCCTATTGAAAAAATAAAGTGTACCCCAAGATTTCAGCAAAGCCAAGAAGTTTAGAAAATGGAAAAGCCTTTCCAAAATTGATTTTTTGGGGGTATTATTATTTATGATTATTATTTTTTACAGCAATGCTTTGCATCAAATAATTACATTTTAAATCATTTTCGGTTGTGTGGGAAGAGCAGGGTGGAAAATGGGATTTTTTTATTGATTTCTATTAATTAATCCTCATCAGAGATAAGAAATAACAGCTTTATTTGGCATTGGAGACAGCAAATAATAACTCCTAAACAGCAGCTCAGCAGGACACACAAACATCTCCAACCATGGGACAATTCCCTGGAAAATTGGCTCATTTTGATTTTATTTTTAACCAGGATCTTCCAAATTATCAAATTTCCATGGATAAAGCCCACAAAAGCGATGGAACTGGGATATTCCTCAAGGATAAAGGGATTTAGGTAATTAACAGGCTAATTAAGCAGTAAGGGGGTGGGGCCAAGTTGGTTTTCCTCGTTTTTGATGTTGTGAAACTCTGGAGTTTGGGGTTCTCCAGGATGGGAACAGGGCCTGATCTCCAGAGTGGGATTCTGGCCCATGAGGATGGAGAAGGGAAGGATCCAGGGAGAGCTCAGAGCTCCTTCCAGGGCCTGAAGGGATCCAGGAGAGCTGGAGAGGGACTGGGGACAAGGACAGGAGCCAGGGAATGGGATTTGGGAAGGAATTCCTGGCTGGGATGGAATTGCCAGAGCAGCTGGGGCTGCCCCTGGATCCCTGGCAGTGCCCAAGGCCAGGCTGGACATTGGGAGCTCCTGGGACAGTGGGAGGGAATGGAATATGATGATCCTTAAAATCCCTTCCACCCCAAGCCATTCCATGAGTCCCTCAAAATCTGGTTTTCATCATCTCTTCCAGAGTGTCAGGAAAAGTCCTTGGAAGGAGAGGAATGGTTTTTTAAGTGCCTGGAGGAAAAACCAGTAGGAAACAAACCAGGATCCTTTATTTTTCCACAAAACAACCCCTGCCTTACAAGCACGGCTGTAATTGTATCTTGAACATGCAGTGCAAACAAAAACTCGTTAACACCTGCACTAATGAATCCCAGGAAGGCTCTGGAGTATTCCAGCTGCACTTGGAAAGACACGGATCCTGCTCCTCGTTGATTTGTGTCACACAACCAGGACAAACCCTCTGGATCACACAGGGACTCCTCATCCACCCAGAGATCCAAGGTCAGGCATTTCTGGGATTATTTTTTGTTTTTTTGCCCAGATTTTCAGGCTGTGCTTTTTTATTCCCACAAATTTTATCCCATGAATGCTTCCTGCAAAGAAATGAATCTCCACAGCACCTGGAGCTGAGAGCTCTTCAAAAATTTGATTAAAATTCCTCAAGTGTTTCATCACCTCTGAGGGAGATGAGGCCTCATGGAAGGAAAGGCTTAAAAAATTGGTGGAAAGCAAAGGTGGATCTGTTTAAAGTGGGGTTTAGGAGAACTAAGAAGTTTCCCAGAGCAGCTGTGGATGCCCCTGGATCCCTGGAAGTGTCCCAGGCCAGGCTGGATGGGGTTTGGAGCAGCCTGGGATAGTGGGAAGGATCCCTGCCCATGGCAGGGGTGGAATGGGATGATCCTTCAAATCCATCCCAACCCATTCAATGATTCCATGATTCCAATGATGATTAAATCCCTAATTATGGTGTGTGTGTGTGTGTTTGGGTGGTTTAATTACAGAGGAGAAACGATCTCCCAGCTTAAGGAAACTCCTCAAAAGGAACAAAGATTTTCCATCCTCTGGAATAACTGGGATGAGGAATTACTTCACAAAGACACAAACGGGCAGAATTCAAAGGGAAAATAAAGAAGCTCCTTTGTGTGTCCAGATGTTTCTGCAGCTGCAGAGTCCTAGGAGATGCTCCTTGTCCTGCTAAAGAGGACAAGGAATTCAGGACAAAAACCTGGATCCAGGGAAGAGCTGGTGCTGTGCCTGCTGCCCATGTTTTATTGTTAGGAGTGGAGCTGGCCTGGATTTCTCCTGCTCCTCATGGCAGCTCCCAGAGGTCTCCCACAGCAGAGGGAAAATCTCCATGGACCTGCCGGAGTGGGGACACCACGACAGGAGGTGCTGGAGTGGGATTAACAACAGGAGAACCTCCTGGAGATGGGATTTGTTCACAGGAGGCTGCAGCTCCCAACAAAATTCCTGAGTGGTTCTGGAAAGCAAAGTCAGGTTCACAGAACACCTTCAAACAAACCCTGAGGAGGTAAAAACAGAGCTCTTATGCTTTTTGGCTTCCATCCCTTCCTTTTTCTGCCTCTTTTCCCGGTTCTCAGGTGTTTCTGGGCATTGTCCAGCAATTCATTCCTCACATCTGTTCATGGTTCATCCATGTTCCTTCCTTTTCCTCTTGCACTCCCTTCCCTTTTTATATTTTGCTCCATTTTCCCCCTCAGTTTCTGATTCTGCTTCCAGCTGATTCCCTTTTTTACTCTATATTGATTATTTTTTTCCCTAGGCTTGCTCTATCCAGGATTTGGTATCGATTTCCATGGAGTTCCCTCCTCTTCTGGAATTGTTTGCTCCCTCTTCCCCAGAAGTCAGCTTTTCAAATTCCTTAGAAACACCAAGGAATTCTCTTTCCCTGAGATGTGTCCAGCCACCAGGAAATGTTATCTGCTGCTCTCCTCCTGGATTTCAAGGAAAGAAAATCCAGCAGGGACCAGTTTGCTCTTGTGTTTTATTCCATGTGGGATCAGCAGGATGAATCCTGATAAATTTAGGGTTTTCCTTGCACATTTTGCTTTGGAAGCTCCCAGGGATGATGAGGTTGGGCCATTTTTTTCCAGGATCACAGAACAATTTGGGCTCATGGATCATCCATTCCCACCCCCTTCCATGGGCAGGGACACTCCACAAAATCCCTCCCTCCACTCCCAGCCTTCCCTCCTCGCTCACACTCCCTCCTCCTTCCATCACGAGGATTCATCCCTGTCAGTTTTTCCAAATGTTCTCCAAGCTCTTCCTCCCTGGGGTTCCTCTTTAAAGAAGAGAGGTTGGAGAGTTGGGATTTGCAGAGCTGGGATTTACAGAGTTGGGATTTACTGATCTGGGATTTACAGAGCTGGGATTTGCAGAGCTGGGATTTTCAGATCTGGGATTTACAGAGTTGGGATTTACAGAGTTGGGATTTACAGAGTTGGGATTTACAGAGTTGGGATTTACAGAGCTGGGATTTACAGAATTGGGATTTACAGAGCTGGGATTTGCAGAGCTGGGATTTACTGAGCTGGGATTTGCACAGTTGGGATTTACAGAGTTGGGATTTGCAGATCTGGGATTTGCAGTGTGGGGATTTACAGAATTGGGATTTACAGAGCTGGGATTTACAGAGCTGGGATTTACAGTGGGAACCTCCATCCTCTCCATGCTCCTTCCCACACTTTATCCATGATCCACAACCTCTGCTGCAGCCTCAGCTCCCTCCCAAGCCTAACCCAGTTCTTGAACCCATCCCAGACTCAGGGCCAGGAGCTGGACTNGCACTTGGAGCCCCTGATGTGCCCAGGCCCCTGTGAGGCTTTGGACACGGTCCCACACACGACAGCCCCAGCCTCACCCTGCTGTCACCATCCGCTAGCACAAGTGGGAGTTCGTTTGATCTCAGAGTGCAAAAAGGACACCAAGAGATTTCAGTTTAAATCACAACAGCAATAATGCATCTTTACTGTAGTGCCAGCATCATGGGTTATGTGATAGATGAGAGGGAGAGAGAGAGGGATAAAGAGTCAAAGGAAAGAGACAGAAAAGCGGGGGTTGTAGCTACCAATGGACGTGACAGGGTTGCCGGTGTCTTCTTCCATGAGGAGACCTCTCTCAGAAAGTAACTTAGAAAAGTCACTTTTATGGTCTATTTCAAAGCGAGAGGCAGTTAGCCAAAAGTTGGTGAGATTTATTACTGTTGTGGTGTGACCTGTTGCTCTGAGAAGCCGGTGTCAGGTCAAGCACACCTTCAAACAATCACTTAGCAAGAGCCCACCGCAACCAGGCCAGAACCCCTGCACAAAGTCCCCAGGGGTTTTCAGGGTCTTAGTCTCTGTTTTTGTGATGGTCGTAAGGCAGATGAGGGAAACTTGGGACGGTCTCTTCCACCTGCAGAGCCCTTTTGGAGGCTTTGGAGGCTGGGCTGTTCGGGGCACGAGCCACTGGCCAGGTGGATGCAGCCAGGGAGTTGTGGGCAGTGGCTCCATGTCCGGCTGCAGGCCGGGGACGAGGGGTGTCCCTCAGGGCTCTGCCTTGGCCCCGGGGCTCTTGCCTGGCTGCCCCAGTGACACAGACAGTGGATCCAGCTCACCCTCAGCACATTTACAGGGGATGGGAAGCTGAGCAGTGACACCATGGTGACACCATGGAAGGATGGGGCCATGCAGAGGGACAGAAAGTCACAGCATCACAGAGAATCAGCAGGGTTGGGAGACACCTTCGAGATCATCCAGCCCCACCATCAGCACAGCACCACCATAATCAGCCCTAAACTATGTCCTCAAGTTCCACATCCAGATGGCTCTTGGGCAGTTCCAGGCATAGTGACTCCACCAACTCCCTGGGAAATTTATTCCAATGCCTATTAACCACTCCTTAAGTGAATTTTCCCCCCTAATATCTAATTTGAAACACAGAACTTCTTAAAAATGAATTGTCAGGACAAGGGAAGGCCTGGAAAATCTGGGATGGTTGTTTTTCCCTCAGCTCCCAGGTGTTACTAGCATAGGTTGGGTTTCCCACCTCCTCACAGGAAGAAGTGGGCAGGTTAAGTCAGCATGAGCCCAGACAAAAGGTTTGAGATAACTCTCCTGTGAGGGTTAACAGAGAATTTTCTTGCTTACTATTTGCTGCATGCACTCATTCTTTCAATGGACTATGTTCATTAATATTGTGCAGTGTCATAGTAAGAAGAAGCGGAAGAAGGAACAGAGGGTATTTACAGAGAATTTAGCCTCCCATGGAGGCCATTAAATAACCTAAAGAAGAAACAGTCCATGTAAAGAAAGGTAAAACAGTCCCATGAACGGCTATGAGAGGGGTAAGAAGCAAATAATTTCTTTTTAAATCTAGTTACTGCAGTAAAGAAGAGGGAAAATGAAGAAACTGAGGACAAACTGCATTTGCTTTTCCAGTCACACACAAAAAAAATCTCCACTTCATTTGAAGTTATTGCAAAATGCTTCACTGCATCCAAAATAGGGCATTTCATTTGTTGAATGATGTCACTCTTCTTAATCCCTTGAAAGGTAGCCTCTTCTGGGGCAAAAATAAATTCATAGAAGTTTCTTCAAATGGTAGTTTCCAACATGCTTACTCTCCATGCATTCATCCAAGCAATTCTCATCTCTGCTCAACAGAGGCCTGGGTAGTGGGATGAAGACATCATTTTGTGGGGTTTTAACACAACCAGTTTTTAACACTCTACATGAAGTGGCCAAAACCGGGGCTGATGAAGGAAGAGAGAACATTGAGAACATTGTAGGTCATGGTTGAGAGCCATGAAGGCTCATTTCCAAGCATTTACTGAGCTCTAGCAGGTCTCTGGAACATGCACAGGGAAACTTTATGTAAAATTAATAATACTGAAGTGATTTATTCAGAGACAGAGTAAAGAGAGGAAATGCTTGTGTCACTGCACGTTCAGTATGGCTGAGCATGCCAGAGACTCCTTGCAGTCCAAGTTTTATCTTGATAGACACCTAAAATGTACAAGAGCTAAACTGAGCCTTCTCCATGTGGTATGAAAATATAGGAAATTCAGGTTTAGTGGATTAGTATGGAGCAACAAATACTTCAGTGAAACAGTGCCTTGGGGCTGGGGGCGTCAGGGACAGAGGTGATTACATGATGTAAGGCATGAGAAAATAAATGACTTTAGTTTTTGTTTTCTGTTGCAAAGTGGAAAAAAAAACAGGTGGAAATTGTGAATGTCACTGTATGTCAATAAGATTAACAAAGGAGAGGCAGACACAGCTAGTGCTTTTTTTTAATGAGGGCCCCTGTCTTTTTTCCAGCACTTTGTCTGGTGGATTTGCATAGATTGTCTGACATGTCTCATTTTTCCTGGTGTGCTTCAGATTTGAATTCAGACTGTCAGACTCAGCTGGCACTGGACACAAGTTTGGAAACCAAGGGGGTGCAGGAAACTTGCCCCTACCAGCCTGGGTAGGCTCTCTAGACACAGCAGCAAGAGAAGGACCTGCACAGAAAAATAAACAAGTGTTTAAGGGCAAAAAGTGTGGTTTTACCCAAGGTATGCTCCAGCAGAATGAGGGCAGCCAGCCAGCTCCAGGGGCTTCCACCCATCCCATCTGGAGAGGAGGGATGATCTCCTACATCAGAGACTTAGTGTCCCTTTGCATCTTCTTTGTGTAGTCCCATCCCCTGCCACACAAAAGCTGAGGCTCACCTGGGGATTCCCTTCTCCAGACTTCCCAAGAACACAGGGACAGCCCCTATCACCCTGTGCCCCATCCAGGCTCCTCTCCTCCTTCTGGCCCTGCTGGTCTGTAAACACCAACTTCAGCAGCTGCTTTTGCACTGATCTTCAAACTGGTGTAGCCTTGGCAGGAAAGAAGACTGCTGGTTCATCTGTGCAGAAATACTCTGGCACTCCACACTTGCTGGTATGGTTAAAACAGCAGCTGCTGCTCCTTCACAGTTACACCAGTGTAAGAGTGCTTGCAGCAAACACAGCTCATTTCTACTTGGGCAAGAATAACCTCGCAGCAGGCAGCAGCTTTCCTTACAGCCGTGGTGTCTGGGGTTTCTCTGAGATGGTGAACCCTGCAGAAAGCCCACCTGGAGAAAGGGAGGGTGGTCCCACTGCAGGGGACAGGGAGTTGTCAGGGCAATGAGATACCCCTTGTGCAGATCTGTGCCCAACTCCAGCCTGCAAAACTCTTGGGGAAGATCCCAGCACACAGAGAGGGCTCATCATTGCTGTTTGTCACTATGATCTCAGAAAACACACTCATCCCATAGGGGAAGATGCATAAAAGTAGCAGAGCTGACACTTCTCTGTC